AAATCTATTTCTGACAGTATTGGGGGGCTGGGAAGATCAAGATCAGGGTGCTGGCATGTTTGGTATTTGATTCATAGATGGCAGACTTTTCACTGTGTCCTCACAGTGGGGAAGGAGCAAGGGATCTTCCTGAGGCCGCTTTATAAGGGCACTAATTCGGTTCACTAAGGTTAAATCTCCTTTTCTGAAGGCCCCACCTCCTAATACCATCACACAGGGAAGTAGATTTGAACATGTTAATTTTGGAAGGACACAGATGTTCAGCATATAGCACAAATATTCTTCAGTATTCTCTTTTCCTTGTGATAACTTATCACATGGTATTAATTACTAGTCTAGTAAGCGCCTTAAAGTTTCTCATTCCTTCAGTGTTTCAGTTTTTGAAGATTTTTGCTTTTTTTTTTTATTAAGGTTTTATTTATTCGTAAGAGACACAGAGAGAAATGCAGAAACATAGGCAGAGGGAAAAGCAGGCTCCCTGCAAGGACCCCGATGCTATACTTGATCCCGGACCCCGGGATCATGCCCTGAGCCGAAAGCAGACGCTTAACCACTGAGCCACCCAGGCATCCCTGGCTTCTGGCTTTAACCGTAATTTTAATCAAGGTGGAATTTAAGGTGTTTGGCACCTCAGTTTTTAATTTTCCCAGGTATAACCAAAGCCATAGGAGAACAAGTTGACTTTCAACTCTTAACTGATCTAATAGGTGCCATAGAGCATTGTTTTTCACTATGCCAGCTGAGTTTGAGAGATGAGAAAGTTGGAATTAGCTCTGTTCTCTTTATCATAGGAGCCTAACAACCCATAGAGTAGTCCCCAGACCATCTACAGGCTGGAAAGGCATCCTTAACAGCATGGCACATGTTTCTTTCCTAAAAACTGAATTAAGACAACATCCAGCTGCAAATCCCCCCCTGCCTAATAGTGAGAATCCTCTGATATTCACTGCATTACATATATAAGAATATTTTCGGGTGTGACTCAGGAGAACTAGGCTGCTCTAAAAAAAATGGGTAACCACTGAGGGGCAGTATTTTCACTGGCTTTCCTTGAAGCCATTCTTACCAATAAGTGGCAGGAAGCCTTCCCCATGGAACTTGAGCCCCTGCAGCCTCCAGGCCCGGCCAGCTGTAGTGAGTGCAAGATGCCCCTTGTTAGTGACTCTGTGGTATATGAGTTCCAAAGACCTATGTGTGAAGGCCCCACGGAAGACTGTGGACCAGAAGCTGAGGATGTGGGGAGTTCTGTAAGGGGCAGAGACAGGGTATCTCCCTTCATCAAAAGTAGGTGAAGGGCAGACATGGATGTGACTACTTTATGGGACCTCCTGCATCTCTCAGTCTAGAGTCCACACTCAGGATCTATTAATAAGCCATCTCTTATTAAGGCTTACCTGCTCTTACTTAGCTGGGTATACTGCCCTTGAATTAATTTTTGGCCCTATAAGAATTATAGAAGAGGCCTCCTGCCAAGGCCAAGATCTCTTCATCCATTCATTTGAGAGCAATTTATTAAGCAGCTATTATATGCCTAGTACTGTGCTAAAGGGAACATAGGCAAGAAACACACGATACCTGCCCTCAAGAGATCATAATCTTAATGAGGGGGGTGCCAGACAAGAGATCAGTATACTACAGAGTGAGAAGACAGATGGAGAGAAACTCCAAGTTCTTGAGGGGAAACATTCTAATTCAGACTGGAGGAGTCTGGGAAGACTTCTAGCAGGAGGTGGCACCATACATAACTCATGAAGGACCAAGAGGTGTTGGGTAGGTAGGTGGATTCCAGTTCCAGTCATGGCAGAGTAGCTCGCTTTAAATTACCTTGCAGATAACTATTATAAAATTTAGACAAGATGTAAAGAATGACTATTGGAAGGCATTGGAGACTAAACGTTGGCAGACAAAAACAGAAAGACTTTTGGCCCTTGAAAGGAGAAAACTTCATTAATTTATGTCTATGGCTTTATGGATTTCCACCTGAAATCTTCAATTCCAAGCATGGTGGGATGCTTGGGTGGCTCAGCGGTTGAGTGTCTGCCTTCGGCTCAGGGCATGATCAGGGGTCCTGGGATCAAGTCCTACATCAGGCTTCTTGTGGGGAGCCTGCTTCTCCCTCTGCGTATGTCTGCCTCTCTCTCTGGGTCTCTCATGAATAAATAAATAAAATCTTAAAAAAAATTACAAGCATGGTTTATTTTTCCATATACTAAGGTCTTCCCTAATTCCATTGGCAGTGTCTTAAAGTTTTCAGTGTACAGGTCTTGTACATTCTTTGTTAATTTTTTTGCTAAGTACAGTCATACCTTGTAGATGTTACAGGTATTAGACCACGGCAATAAAGTAAATACTGAAAAAAAGATAAAGCAAATACTGTAATAAAGTGAGTCAGATGAGTTTCTTGGTTTCACAGAGCATATAAAAATTATATTTACATTATACTATATTAAGTCATAATAGCATTATGTCCAAAAATTAAATGTACATACTTTAAAAGTACTTTATTGCCAAGAAAATACTGTCATCTGAGCTTTTAACAAGTAATCTTTTGCAGGTAGAAGGTCTGTTGCTGAAAGTGGGGGTGGTTGTGGCAATTTCTTAAAGTAAACATGAAGTTTGCTGCATTGATTGACTCTTTCTTTCACAAATGACTTATCTGTAGTATTGATGCTGTTTCATAGCATTTTATGCACAGAATTTCTCTCAAACTTGGAATCAGTCCTCTCTGACCCTGCTGCTTATTTATCAGCTAAGTTTATGTAATATTCTAAATCATTTGCTGTCATTTCAACAATCTTCAGAGCATCTTTAACAGGAGTAGACACCATCTCAAGAATCTACTTTCTTCGCTCATCCATAAGAAGCAGCTCCTCCTCCTTTCAAGTTTGGATCATGAGGGATGCCTGGGTGGCTCAGTTGTTGAGCATCCACCTTCAGCTCAGGTCATGATCCCGGGGTCCCCTCAGGGAGCCTGCTTCTCCCTCTGCCTATGTCTCTGCCTCTCTCTCTGGGTCTCTCATGAATAAATAAATAAATAAAATAATTTTTAAAAATGTTTGGATCGGGCAGCCCCGGTGGCTTAGTGGTTTAGCACTGCCTTCCGCCCAGGGTGTGATCCTGGAGACCCGGGATCAAGTCCCCACATCAGGCTCCCTGCATGGAACCTGTTTCTCTCTCTCTCTCTCTCTAATAAATAAATATAAAATCTTTTAAAAAAAAGTTTGAGTCATGAGATTGAAGTAATTCAGTCTCATCTTTAAACTCCATTTCTATTCTGGTTCTCTTGCTGTTTCCACCACATCTGCACTTACTTCCTCCACTGAAATCTTGAACCCCTCCAAGTCATGCATGAGGATTGGAATCAACTTCTTCCAAATTCCTGTTCATGTTCTTTTTTTTTTTTTTTTTTTTTTTTTACCTCTTTTCATAAATCGTGAATGCTCTTAGTGGTTTCTAAAATGGTGAGTCCTTTCCAGGAGGTTTTTACATGTCTTTGCCTAGATCCACCAGAGGAGTCACTATCTGTCACACCAACAGCTTTAAGAAATGTATTTCTTAAACAGTAAGACTCGAAAGTCAGAATTACTCCTGATTCATGGACCACAGAATGGATTTCATGTTAGTGGGCATGAAGACAACATGAATCTTATTTTCGTACATCTCCATCAGAGCTCTTGAGTGACCAAGTACATTGTCAATGAGCACTGTGTTTGGAAAGGAATCTTTATCTTGAGCAGTAGATCTCAACAGTGAGCTTAAGATATTCAGTAAGCCATGTTGTAAACAGATGTGCTATCATCTAGGCTTTGCTGTTCCATTTAAAGAGCACAGGCAGGGTAGATTTGGCATAATTCTTTAGCGCTGTGGGGTTTTTAGAATGCTGCATGACCACTGACTTCAATTTAAAGTCACCAGCTGCATTAGCTCCTAACAAGAGAATCAGCCTGTTCTTTGAAGCTTTGAAGGCAGGCATTGGTTTCTCTTCTCCAGCTATGAGAGTCCTAGTTGGCATCTTCTTCCAATAGAAGGCTGTTTTGTCTACACCGAAAATCTTTTGCTTATTGTAGCTGCCTGCATTAATTATTTTAGCTAGCTCTTTGGGATAACTTGCTGTAGCTTCTCCATCAGCACCTGCTGCTTCACATTGCACTTTGATGTTACAGAGATGGCTTCTTTTCCTTATGCATCATAAACCAAGCTTCAGACTTTCTGCAGCTTTGTCACCTCTCTCAGCCTTCATAGATTTGATGAGAGTTAGGGCCTTGCTCTGGATTGGGCTTTGGTTGAAGGGCACGTTGTGGCTGGTTTGATCTTCTATCTAGGCCGCTAAAACTTTCTCCATATCCACAATAAGGCTGTTTCACTTTCTTATCATTTGTGAGTTTACTGACAAAGGACTTCTAATTTCCTTCAAGAACTTTTCCTTTGCATTCACAACTTGGTTAACTATTTGACACAAAAGGAGTAGCTTTTGGTCTGTCTCGGTTTTTGAGATACCTTCCTCAGTATGCATAATTATTTTTAGCTTTTGCAAAAGTGAGAGATGTGTAACTCTTTCACTTAAACACTTAGGGCCATTGTAGGGTTATTAATTGGCATAATTTCAACATTGTTGTATCTTGGGAAATAGGGAGGCCCAAGTAGAGGGAGAGAGATGGGGAAGGCTGGTTAGTGGAGCATCAGAAGATTTATCACTTGAGTTTTTCATTCTGTGTGGGCACAGTTCATGGTACCCCCAAAACAATTAGGAAGGTTAACATTAAAGGTCACTGATTGCAGATCACATAATAAATATAATAATAATGAAAATGTTTGAACCACTTTGAGGATGACTGAAATGTGACACAGAAACACAAAGTGAGCAAATGCTGTTGAAAAAATGGTGCCAATAGACTTGCCAGATTCAGGGTTACCACAAATCTTCAGTTTGTAAAAACCATGATTTCGGCAGGTGAACAAGCTGGTGTGTAAGCAGTCTTTTCTTTTCCTTCTCTTTACAGCAATGCAGAATCTTCAGAGAAGAGATTTAGAATGAATAGCTTTGTGTCAGACTTTGGAAGACCACTGGAGCCAGATAAGGTGTTTTCTCGACAGGGCAATGATGAATCCCGGTCTCTCTTTCATTGCTACATCAATGAAGTGGAACACTTGGATAGGGCTAAAGTTTGTCATCAGACCACGGTCCTTGACAGCAGTGTTCAACTCCAGGAAGCCATTAGAAGCAATGGGCGTCGAGAGGAGGAGCTGAATAGGCTTATGAAGTTTGATATCCCTAACTTTGTGAATACAGACCAGAACTCCTCCTTTGGGGAGGATGATCTTCTAATTTCAGAACCACCTATTGTTCTAGAAAATAAGCCAGTTTCCCAGACCTCACATAAAGACCTGGATTGAGAAACTACTTCCTGAAGTAGGGGTAAAGTGTCTTCCTGAAGATGTTGGGTCTGTCTTTGTAAAGCAAGAAATCTCCATTCACCAAGATTGTGTGTGTGTGTGTGGGGGGGGTAGCTAAGTGGGGGTGTTATGAGAGATAGAAACAGAAAGAGAGAAGAGAGCCCCCTCAAAAACGAGCCGAATAAGCTGAGTTTCTATGCCTTTAAACACAGTTCAGGCTTTTTGGGGAATAAGGTACTTATATGGTTTCATCCTCTTTGTTGCTGAAAAATTTGGCCACATACTCAGTGTCAACGTTCTTGAATGGGGGTTAGCATACTGTGTTCCAGTCTGGCCCTGCCAATTCCATGCTCTACCTTTAGCAAGTTGCTTTACCTCTCTGGGCTGCCACATTGTTAACCGTAACGTGAGGAGTCTGGAGTAGATTATTCATCCTAGCTCTAATATTTTGTGAACTTGTGACTTTGCATCGAGAAGAGGCTGGGATGTACGTAAATCAATATAAACTATGGCGCTGCCTCCTATCTCTTGTAGGATCCCCCATGTCAGTACCTTCCACTCAATCTTAACTGAGCCCAGCTTTTGTCAGGGGTCCAAGCATCTAGAGGATGTCAGACGACTCGTCTCACAGTCACTGTGGCCAACATTTCTGTTGGTTGTATGAAAATAGCCCTTCTGAGAACCTCCAGCCACCCATGGTAAAACGTAGGGACAGCCATGCCCCTCCTCTTCTAGAATGAGTACCAATCCATGATACATTGCATGGCACTCCTATCCCCAGAAATGTAGGGAAGGTTGTCAGCTGAGTGATGACAGGTGCCTTTTGTGTCTCTGTTGGTGTACATGTGTCTGGTCACATTTCTGTGTGGTTGGCTACTGAACAAGAAAAGTGCTATTTGCCATGCTCTTTACTTGGTAGGGGTGTAGGTGATGGTCATGTGGCTCGTGTGTGAGCTTTGAGCTGAGGTGGTGAATGGATTGTAAATTCCCCACCAACAGATGTGCAGGGTGGCCTGGTGCAACACAGTTAATTTCATGAAGGAATCTAGTCCTGGTATTGGGAAAAACTTGGTCTTGCATACACAGTTGCATGTGCAGCCAGCTGCTAATCTCTGGGTGGCATTTTCATTATGAATTTGTTCACCATCTGTCTTGCTTAAGCAAAAAAAATAAATGCATTTGATTGCACAGGAATTTTCTCTGGTTCTTTGTTTTCACACATCCAAATTTTTCATTTCCTTTAGAAATTATTCCATGTTTCTAATGCTTCCTAATTTTTATCTCTAGGAGCCCAGTGCTCTGAATTATGCACCAGATTTTATTTAGGAGTTATTCTGCCCAAAGAAATCCCTTTCCCATAATATCTTTTGAGGAAAATATTATTCTTTAAGACTCCAACATTGAACAGTGGAACAAAGCATGGGGTATTTCTTATAATTAACACACTCTTACAAGTAAATACTTGATAGCATTAAAGAATGCTGATTTCATTAACTTTTACTAATATGAATATTATTCATAATTTAAACAACCAGATATAAACTATGGGCTGGTATCTTATTTTGAAGTAGATTTATTAATCAGAAGGCTGAAGAATATTACTAGAAGTTGGAAAAATACCCATGACCATATTAGCATTTTTATTAACTGAATGTCAAGAACTGTGAAGGGTCTAAGATCTTACCCCTCCTGCAAGCTATTGAGTTAGCTGGCCTGGTTTTGTGGATGCTGGCTAAAGACACGAGATTCCTGGCTCAGAGACAAAGAACTTCATCACAGCACAGCAGGCAGCATGGGCTTCATGTTCATGTTGGTTCCTGAATGTATTTCCTATTGCGACTCCAGCAAAGTACCACAGACTTAGTGGCTTGAGCAACACCAACTTATAACCTTATAGTCCTAGAGCCCAGAAGTCCAAAATTAGTGTCAGGGGGCTTAAATCAGGGGGTCATCATGGCTGTGTTCCACCTCAAGGCTTTAGGGAAAAATCCACTTCCTTGTCTTTTCCAGCTTCTAGAGGCTGCTCACGCTCTGGCTTATGACCTTGTATCACTGCATCCTCTGCTTCTACTTTACACCTCTCTCTGACCGTATGCTTCTCTCCTATAAGGACCCTTATGATATCATTGGATTACCCATGATAATCTCTCATCATAAGATTCTTAATCATGTCTGCAAAATCCCTTTTGTCACATAAGGTAGTAAGTATATTCACAAGTTCAAGGATTAGGATGTGGACATGTTTGGGGGACCATTGGCCTACCCCATGGGATCTTCCATTTGGCCCCAAAGATTCATGTGCATCTCACATGCAAAATACATTCACTTCATCCCAATGCCTCCAAAATCTCAATTATTACAACATTGACTCAAAGTCCAACATATAGTCTAAATCTTATTAGCTCAAAATCCCCAATCTCATAATCTTTTTTTAAAGATTTGTTTTTATGTATTTATTTTAGAGAGCACGGATGGGAGGAGCAGAGGGAGATGGAGAGAGAATCTCAAGCAGGCTCTACTGAATGTGCACGGAGCCCAATGCAAGGCTCCATCTTATGACCCTGAGATCATGAGCTAAGCTGAAACCAAGAGGTGGACGATTAACCGACTGTACCACCCGGGTGCCCCTCAGTCTCATCATCTTTATTATCTAAGTCAGGTATGGGTGAGACTCTGGGTATAATCCATCTTGGGGAAAAATTCTTTTTCTGTGGACCTGTAAAACTAGAGAACAAGTAATTTGTTCCCAAAATGTAATGGTGTGACAAGCACAGCATAATAGACATTTCTTCTCCTGTAGAAGGTGACACTGGATAGAAAAAAAAAGGAGCCAGTAGTCCCAAGCAATTTTGAAATCCCACTGGGCTAACTCCATTCATTTGCAAGTCCTGGAAATAATTCTCTGTGGCTTGTGGCTTCGCCCTCTGGGCCTGTAGTTCTGCCCTTGCAATTATGCCTCTTTTGCCATGAATGTATTTGTAACCTGCTTCCTGCAGGTAGAATTTTGCGGGCCTGACGGCCACCTTTCATCTTGTCCTCTCCCTGTCCCTTAAAGCCCAAGTTGGCAGTGTTTCTGCAGGTGTGGTATTCTCAGGAACATGATGAGCCACCTCAACACGTCACATGTATTCATTCCATTAGATAGGAGGTACAAAGTGCCCCACAGGATCATTCTCTCTTGAGGCAGGGACATGACCTTTTGTAACTCCAAGCTGGTCAGGGAAAGGTGACTTTTACCTTAACCAAGGGCAATTCCCTAGAGAAGGGAGCACTAGGGGGCCTATATCCCCAGCAGCTGGGACTGACACTCAGGCTAGTAAAGGAATCTGGCTGGGACATTACCATCACCCTTAGGAACCATAATGGATGACTTTTATTGGGCACTAAGCAGCCTCTGTGCTAACTTATTTTTTGTAACCCTACTCTGAGAACTCTCCACACAGAGGCTTAAATGATCCTTTTAAGTATGTTAAGTCAGGTTACTTGTTGCTCAAAATGCTGCAATGACTGCCAGTTGCAGTCAGCAAAGAAGCAAGAGTCCTTACCGTGACTGCAAAGCTGTCCTCCCTCATGTGCCAGCTGATCTCATCTCATCTACTGTTCTTCCCCTGGCTCACCCTGCTCTGGCCACACTGGCCTCCCTGCTGTCCCTTGGAAACAGCAGACATTCACCTATGCTAGGGCTGTTGCACTGACCAGTCTCTCTATCTGGAACATTTTCCCTCTAGGTATCCCCTTAACCCACTCCCTCATCTCTTGCAAGTTTTTCCTCCAGTGCCCCCTGTTATGGGTCAGATTGCATCCCCTCCCAACCCGCCAAATTTACATGTTGAAATCCTAACCCTCAAAACCTTATTTGGAAGCAGGGGTGTTGCAGCTGTAATTCATTAAGATGAGGTCATGAGGGTGGGCCCCCATCTGGTATGACTTGTGTCCTTATGAAAAGAGAATATTTGGAAAGAGACATGCATAAGAGGAAGACAACATGAAGAGAAATTGGGAGAATACAAGTCAAGGAGACAGGCTTGGAACAGACCCCTCTGACAGCCTTCAGAAAGAAGCAACCCCACTCACACCAGACGTCAGACTTCCAGCCTCAGGACTGAGAGACTACAAATCTCTGGGGTGGATGTCACACGGTTGTGGTGCTTTGTTGGAGCCCTAGCAACAAATAGCCCCCTCCTCAACGCTCTGAATGAAGCCCACGCTGGCCATCCGTTCAGACCCAGTACTGCATTCCCCTAATTCCTGCCTAGCACCCCCATCTCCTTGATCTCACTCTGTGTTTCTTCCTCTACAGTACTTCTCACCTATGTACTATGCAATTTACATATTATCACGTCTGTGGTTTCCTTTGTACTCCTCCAGCTAGAACGTAAGCTCTGCAAGGGCTAACTCAGTGCCTGAAACACAGTAGGCAGTCCATGAAGATTGGGGGAGGGAGGGAAGGACTGTTCCTTTGACTTGCTCTACAGGCGGGAGAACTGAGGCTCTGGGAGATCCAGTATATAATATAGCTCAAGTGCACAGCTGCCATGAGGTGGCCCCAACTGAGTTCTGAGAGATCGAGAAGCTGCAGAAGGTTTGAATGGTACCCTCTCTGTTGGTTCGTATTTATCTGATTATTTTTTCTGTCTCTAACTTTTGACCTCTTTATGTGTTCTTTTTAACTTTCAATCTGGTTTAAATTTTAATTTTAAAATTAAATGTGTAAATGTATCTTTAAACTTGCACAATTATTGTATGTATTGTGATTACTGATGATGTTTTATTTATTTTGTGATTTCTATTTACTTTGCTCTGCTTTTTTCCTTTCCTGCTTTGTATCATGCTGTGGTCAAGAGCATAAGGTCTAGAAATAGTCTATTTGGGCTTGGTTCCATTATATGCTAATTGCAGTCTTAACCAGCATACCTAACCCCTTTAAGACTGTTTCCACATATACAAAAAGGGACAACCGCCACCTAAAAGTTTGTGAATGTTAAGTGATAACACATAAAAAGCACTTAAAATAGTGACTGGCCTATTCTACATGCTCCATTGCTGCTCATTTGCTTTTATTCTCTCTTTTCTAAATTTTAACCCTAGTGTAGTTACTTTTATTCTCTTTTTAAACAAATATTTATTTATTTATTCATTCATTTGTATGCTTATTTAAATCAGTATTTTGGAGATTACTCTTGAATTTTAATGAACATACTTGACACTGAAAGTTGAAGTCTGTTTAACTGCTCACTGAAATGAATTTATGTATCAAATGTTATATATATTTTGTTCCCATAGTTCTCTTTGGCTCTTTCAAAAAAATTGATCTGTTCTTTTCTCATGAGCTCCTGATTTTTTCATTCTATTTGCTATGATATATATATATATATATATATATATATATATGTACACATATATAGATTATATATATCTATATATACACATATATATACACACATATATGTATTTTTATATATGTATATATATAAAAATATATTTTTTTATTCTAATAATTTGGCCATACTCATTTTATGCTCTCTTTTAGATTGTTTCATAATTTTGGGCTCTGGAATACTAATTATCCTGGGGTTTTTAGGGTTTGCTACTTCTTTACAGCCAATGGATTCCAACTGTTTGTGTGTGTGTGTGTGTGTGTGTGTGTGTGTGTGTGTAGTTGCATGAGCTTCCTTTCAGTGAGTATTATTTTTTGCCTATGATTATCCTACGAACCCTGGTTTTATAAAAATTTCCCTAGAGAACAAGTTTGTGTTGCTTATCCTTAAGCCCCAAGCGATTTGCTCAATCTGAAATTGTTAGTTTAAAATTTTTGCTTGGGGATTCCTGCCTCTTACGTGGAGTATGAATTTGGATGGCACCCCCACATGAAGCATAAGCTTGGAGTTTATGGTAGCCTTTGTTTTTCTTAAGAGACCTTGGTAGAACCAGTTTCCTCATCTCTTTCTTGTGTCAGTGTATGGGGTTCTTGTCTCCCTCTCACTGAAGAGTCTCAGTAAAGCAGGGGAGTCTCTACATCTGGTATGAACCCCTTTTTTCTGAATGGATATTGTAACCCACCTCAAGATGCAGATTAAAACCCTGTCCCCTGGGGTGCTGTGGTATTAGCTCACAAACTTCCCATTCCAGCTTTAAGTTGCCTGTTTTTTTGTGTCATCTGAAAACTTCTCTTTTCTTCATGGTTAGTCCTATAT